GCATTCCTATAAAGATACCTGAAAATGTGGAAGCAACTTTGGAACTGGGTAATGGCCAAATGTTGGAACAGTTTGGAGGGCTCAGAAGAAGACAGAAAGATGAGGGAAAGTTTGGAACTTCCCAGAGACTTGTTGAGTGGTTGTGACCAAAATGCTGATAGTGATACAGACAGCAAAGTCCAGGCAGAAGTCTGCTTTGAGGGTGGAGTCCTCATGTAGAACCTCTACTAGGGTAGTGTGGAGGAGAAATGTGAGGTTGGAACCCCGACAGAGTCCCCACTGGAGAACCACCTGGTGGAGCTATGAGAAGAAGGCCACCATCCTCTAAACCTCAGAATGGTAGATCCACTGACAGCTTGCACTGTGCACCTGGAAAAGCTGCAGGCACTCAACACCAGCCTGTGAATATAGCCACTGAGACTATACCTTGCAGAGCCACAGGGGTGGAGCTTCCCAAGGCCTTGGGAGCTCACCACTTGAATCAGTGTGTCCTAGATGTGAGACATGGAGTCAAAGGAGATTATTTTGGAGTTTTAAGATTTAATGACTGCCCTGCTGGGTTTTGGACTATTGTGGGCCCTGGAGCCCCTTTGCTTTGGCCAGTTTCTTCCTTTTGGATTGGTAGCATTTACCAAATGCCTGTACTCCCATTGTATCTTGGAAGTAGCTAACTTGTTTTTTATTTTAAAGGTTCATAGGTGGAAGGGACTTGTCTTGTCTCAGATGAGACTTTGGACTTGGACTTTTGAGTTAGTGCTGGAATGAATTAAGACTTTGGAGCAACCATTGGAAAGGCATGATTGTGTTTGAAAATGTGAGAGGGACATGAGATTTGGGAGGGACTGAGGCAGAATGATATAGTTTGGCTATGTGTCCCCAACCAAATCTCATATAGAATTGAAATTTTCAGTGTTGCAGGAGGGGCCTGGTAGGAGGTGATTGAATCCTAGGGGCGGACTTCCCCGTTGCTCTTCTTGTGATAGAATTCTCAGGAGAACTGGTTGTTTGAAAGTGTGTAGCACTTTCCACTTCTCTGTCTCTCTTCTCTGCCGTGTGAAGGTGTGCTTGCCTCCCTTTTGCCTTCCACCCTGGTTGTAAATTTCCTGAGGTCTACCCAGAAGCAGAAGCCTGGACAGCTTGAGATGATTAAACCTCTTTTTTTAAAATAAATTACACAGTCTCAGGTAGTTCTTTACAGCAGTGTCAGAACGGACTAATACAGGGTTAGAGGAAAATTACAGAATAGGCTCAGTGAAAATATCGCATAGCCGTCTTTGCCCCCAAAAGTGAAACTAGAAATAAAAATTAAAAGAGAGAAATAATTAATTTATTGATCCAAGGCTTGGCAAACTGTAGCCCATAAGCCAAACAAGACCATGCTCATCCAATTACATATTGTCTTCTTGCTGCTACACTACAATGGGAGAGTTGAGTGATTTCTACAAAGATCATGTAGCTGACAAAGTAAAAAATCGGCCTTTTACAAGAAAAAAGTTTGCCAATACCTGGATTAAAATACATTCTATACATTCATGAGAGGAGATTGGAAACATTTTGGAAAAAATATTATTTAGTATCCACTCCTATTTTGAGATTTCCAAAGAGTATGACATTTGGAAGATCTGGTTATAAACATCTTTTCTCCTACTGAAAAAACTGTGAACCCAAGCAGTTATTCAAATTCTGTGAATTTCAATTTCCTCTCTATAAACGAAGCATATCAATAACACCAAATTCTCATATATAATAAAGATTAATTGCTCAGGTATATTTGTATATAATCTATGAAGTTTAAACTATGTTAGTTTTAATGAGGAACACTCAAGAGTAACACCACAATTCTCCAAGTACATTCTCTCTTCAGAGAAACAATCACTTCTATCCATTTTCATTAAAATTCTAAAGGTTCTTGCCTCCAAATTATTGACTAACATGTTATTTCTATTTTTTCACTTAGCAACTTGAAAATTATCTACTGAATTCCTATTATGATAGGTAAGAATTTCATTTGTGCTTTACTTGTAGTTGATCTTTCTGTAGTTCTACTTAACAAAACTGAACCTTCGCATCTTATTTTTCCACTTTTACCTCTTCTTGCCCGATCTACTTTTCAACTTTGGTCAGCTCTACTATTACTTTTACTTTATGAAGATCAATAACATGATTCTATTGCATCTAAAATCATTGCAGATTCTTTAATTTTTCCAAGTGAAGAGTGCTTTTCATAGAGTAGTTGGCTAACTTAAATATATATGTTTATGATGTATTGTAAAATAGTTGACTGGCTACCTGTTACATTGAAATTAGTAACTTTGTACTGTAAAAATATAGGAATGTGTATAATATGTACATATTGTTAACTTAGAAATGTTTTCTTACTTTCTTGTGTCTATGGGATAATTCTTCTCAGAGTCTCCACATTCACTGCCATCTTCTCTGGAACCATCTGGGAAGTCATCAAAGACTGTGTTCAGAATCATTTGTGTTTTTAATAGTTCAGATACAGATTTTTTTTTTAAATGCATTGAGTGATGTCACTGCAATTTTATCCTAAACTGCAACTTACCAAATACAGTTTTTATTCAACTGGAAGAGAAAATTCATCATCTCCATAATACAACCCCTTACTATATTGCTTTTTACAATGATCTTTAAAAGATATGTTTCCAGCAACTTTCATCGCTTGCAAGTGTGAGATCTAGGAATAATGACTTAACTTGTGCCAAATTTATTTGCTTCTACTATTGGCAGGATGAATTTTCATTTCATAATAATAATAATAATTTCTTTTCCTTTCCTTTCTCCTCCTCTTCCTCCTCTTCCTCCTCCTCCTCCTTCTCCTTCCATATCTTTACATAAGCTATTTTCCCCAGTCTGGTAACTTTTAAGATCTTCCTTTTTAATATCTAAGGTTATGCAATTTCACATTAATGTTTTGCTTCATTTTCATGACTCTTCTTTGGCCCTTGCCAGGCATTTTCATGTGGAAATTGTGTGCCTTCCTGCATGCAGTGTAGTCAGTCTTTCTATTGATTTGGTAACTGTCTCCTGCCTCATTTGTTCTGTTCTTTCTTTATTATTCTAATATTAACTAGACACGGAACTTTTGGAGTTCACTTTTTTGTTTCTTATTTTTTCTTTAACATTTTGCCTTTTCACATTTTGCGCTGCACGTTCTGAGAGCTATGTTATTTTTTCAATTTTTTTCTCCTCTTTTTTTTCCTACAATTATAACTTAAATTCCTGGAAACCCTTCTGGCTCTCCAATAGTTCATTTTTCATGGTAGACTGTTCTTGTTTGACAAATACAGTATCTTCTTACATTTCTCCAAGGACAATAAATACGAGTTTTTCTCTTTTACTTGCTTTCTTAAAATCCTGTTTGTTTTTAATTCTGTTTGATTCTTCATGATTTTTGTTTTCTTTTGTTTTTGCTTTCTGTCTTTGTTTCTATTCATGCCAAAATATTCCTCAACTTTCTGGAGATACATATCTGTTCCCATTCAAGAATGAGAAATGAATAAGTTTGATGTGAGGCTCAGAGCATATAGGTAAGTATTGTTGATGGATAGACTTTGATTTAGAGTCATGGACACAGACCCCTAAATATTACAAGAAAGGCATTCTTCTGTAATTCTAAACCTTCTCCAGGTCCCAGATTCTCTCCAGATAGTTAAATTTCTTTAGGGAATGACTATATGTTTTTTATTTTATTTTATTTTATTTTATTTAAGCCTGGAGTAAACACCAGGTTACTAGTAATCATGCTTGCTGGGATGGAGGGGGTTACCTGTTGATCTTCACTTAATCTCTCTCTTTCAGGCTTACTTCTTTCTCACAGTATAATACTAGAATCTCTCTGGAGCACACCAGCTAGCCTGGCAGCCCCTCCCCTCATTAGTTCCGTCTACCCTCACTCTCAGCTGTGTCTTCCTGGTTGACTTCACAGGGCAACACTCCCCTATACACTTTCTCCTTCCAGAAATGTGGCAGAATCTCTGGTTTTCTGATGATTATGAGTTTTGTAGATTTATTTGTATTTATATTCTTTATTATCCTTTACCATCATTTGTTGGATATTTAGAAAGTAGAGGAGAAACATATATGTGGTCAGGATTCCAAACTAGAATTTAATTTTAATTTTATAAACCTTTATGTATTGCTTTGATTTTCCAAGTTATTACACTTCCATAGATAATATGTTACAAAGTTATACTTGGAAATAAAGTAGAAACCCAGATCCCACCTCCGTTAAAAGTTTAGCTATTTACAAATCACACATTCCCTCCCTTTGGCAAAGAGGGTTCTGCCATTGTATTTTCTAAAAATAATTAAGAGAAATGATTTTCAACTTTTTTTCTTCTCTAACACTACACAAACAAATCTCTTAGCTTTTTTCCTCATACCTCTCAAAAGATGTTTTAATTGCAAATCTGAGTATATCTAATTTAGATCTATTTCATAATATATTTAAAGAATCTTGACTTTGCAATTAAGAAAGCATGGAATATGTCTGCCACTGTCTGAAAGCATCATTCTTTCTGCACCAGTGCAGTGTTCTCTGGTCTGTAAAGGGTAAATGAAACTTGGTATCAGAGTTCCAGGACAGCTGCCCAGGTAGCCTCCTCTAAATTCATTTTTAACGCCAGCTGTGGCATATTGATCTGAGCTGGGCTTTCATCTATTCCCTCTGCATCTGGCTTAGGCCATATTGGCATTCTCTGATATTCAAAGATCTTTCCTTTTGCTTTTTTTCTTCTTTCTTTTCTTTTTCCCTCCCTCCCAAGCCAAAAAATTGCTTTGGGAAAACTGGAATAAGGTACTTAGATTGAGTAAAACAAAACAAAACAGACTTGGGCTGGCTGAATCGGGTGATATACCCCACAGTCACACTTTTATATTTTTTGCTTCTTTGCCATCCCTCTACTCCTCTTTCTGTCTCTCCCTCTTCTTGCCCCCTTTCCTCTTCCCTCCTCCTCTCCTCGTCTTTTCTCCTCTCTTTTGTCTTCCATCTTTTCCTCCTAACACATTTTCTCCTCCTCTTCAACCTTTGAAGTGAACTTCTTCGTGTAGCAAGGCACTAAAGCTACCCAGGTTTCCGATAAGCAGCTTCAATTCTCAACAGGGCACAGATGTCACCTGTTGTTATCAAAACTGGCAAAAGTCAATGGCTAAAAGTCAAAGAGTTGATGAAAAAATAGGTGTTGAAAACACCAGCTGCAGCAGTTTAAGCAACATGTCAAAGGGTTTTGAAGCCAATATCAGGCAGTCTTCATACAGGAAAATGTTAGAGAAGATGCTGTGAAGACCCCTTGTTTCTTAAACAGGCAAAGCTCCCTGCTTTGGCAGAACTGATTCCAGACCTGAAAATGTTTGGAAACATTTAAGTTTTTCCCCTTATTTTCCTCTGATGTGGGAACTTCCACACTGAGTAATTTTGAATTCTAGAGGTGTGGTTAGTAATGTTAATGCCAGTCATGGCTGAGATAGATGCCAGTCCATAAGAGTCTCGACCAAGGTATCTCTTTTGTAACTGTTTCAGCTTTCTGCGCACTTTTTGCCCTTTTTCATTTAAATGGATATATCAAGGGGCTGGTTGGTTAACTTAATCGATTAAACCTAAGTGGCAGGATTCTGGTTTCAAATTGTGCAATGCAGATTAAAGGGGAAAAATGTGTTTTGGATTCTCAGACTAGAAGTAATTAGTATACAGTAGTTCTAATATATAATAGTGCAAGATTTTGAGAGAAAATGAAGAATTTAGTTCAAACTAGGATGAAAAGGGAAACAATCTACTCAAAACAAATATGCTTTACTGATGCGTAGTCTCCTCACCTTGCATGGGCCCTACCATAGGCAAGGTGTCAAGAAACTAAAAAGAAAGTACAACCCAGTGCCTTCAGGTGTAAAAGTCCTGAGAAAATGAACGCACAGAGAAAAAATAGGTTTAGACAGAAAATTGAGACGATGACTGGGTGTTGCTCTAAGCCCTTGGTATTTATTATATTTCTTCCTGAAAAAGAGTTTTTGGTCTAGAAATTAACGTTTTATGTTTCCATATGCGTGAACATTTTTGAGTGCTATTAAGAATGTCCATAGAAAATTCAGGTCACATTGACTATTTAGACTACACTTGCCAGGGCATATTTTTGAAACCTCATTTCTATTTTTGTGAGCTAAAATTTTGCAGGTGGTAAGGTGGTAGATGCAAATATCATAATGTGAATATGAGCCAATTAACCAACAACCACATTTTATGAGGTTGCAACCACCTAATTGTTTTGTGTCTGCAGCTAATTATTTCTGGGAGATATTTCTGCGTATGGAAAAGGAGTCTGTTATTATAATTGAGTGTACAGCAAAACAAAAGTTCTGCTGTAAGTACATCAAGGGCAAGGATCACATCTTCTCTGTGTTCCGTAAAATTCCATAAATCACTTCGGGCCCATGGATTCTAAATGAATATAAACTGCTAATGGTGACATGATTCTAAAGTCTGGAAAACAAATTGAATATCCAGCTGCAGTGAATAATATCCAGGATATAAAATATCAACAAAATTTTGAGTGGTTGGTATTATTAACTCATTGATGCCATTTCTCATAGACTCAGAATTTTTCAGATGGAAAAAAATCGACTCCAATGTCGCTACCTTAAAGTTTGAAAATTATGGTCATGATAAATTATGTGACCTACTCAAAGACTTGTGATGCCATTAGGCCTAACCCCTAAGGGGCACAATGTCTAAACCAGTGCCCTCCAGAAAAGGCTCAGCACTTTCCCAATTTTTACTTTAAGATGTTAGAGGCAATACATGTCAACAGAAAACATGTCTATTAAACCCATGCATGCCAGGCCTACGGGAGCTCTGACAAGTTTATTTAATTACAGGAGGCTAAACTTGTTCTTATAAATTGGTCTGTCCAGACAAAGTCGTGGACAAAGTAAGTAGTTTTATGCAGATAAGTTTTATTTTTGTTATTATTGCAGCTGCTCATTGATATTTTAATGTAAGTTTTTATTGAGCTATGCCCTGAGGCTTTTTAAATTGAGGGTTCAATTATTTATAAAATCTAATAATTAAGTAAATTAATGAGCCTAGTCAGAAATCTGGCAACTTGACTGGATGGATTAGACACAAGAAATACTAATGGAAAGGGGTTTTTTTTTCCATCTTTACAGGAAAATCTTTTAAAATATTTTAGACTACGTTTTCTAGATGTACACAAAAAGTCTGAGGCTGAGATTTGCAGGTGAATCAGTACACAAATGCAGGTCAGAGATAGAGCTTAACAACAGATGGGGGTGGGCTGGGCATAACTTGTGATCTAAGTTGCCCCTCTTGCCAAGGCAATTTAGAGTTTTACCAAGTATGGCTTCCAGAAATACAGAGGAATAGCACAGTGTTCACATCTCTTTACTTAAAGATTGAAAACTGATAAATTATGGCATGTCCAGAAGAACGTAACTATAATGGCCACTCAGAACCAAAAGATGAGACCAAATTACAGAAACTAAAAATGGTTAACTTGGAGAAGGCTACATCCTCAAGTACATGGTAAGTCTCTTAAAATATTTAAAAAAAGAACTATCCTATTAGATTGGTGCAAAAGTGGATTGCTGTGTTTGCCATTACTTTCAATGACAAAAATCGCCGTCACCTTCTCACCAACCTAATAAATCTAGATTACCCAAAGAATGCAGCTAGAGATTTAGCTTTTGGTTCCACAATTCTTCCATTTTGTTGCTTTTTGTTGCTTTGCTGTTGGGGCAATGCTTCAGTCCTAAGCCTGGCTGCACTGGTTGTTTTACTCAATGCAGTATGAGAGAGGATGCCGATTCTCTTTGGTTATGGAGCCCACAGCATTTACATTCAAACCTGGCAACAAATTAGGCTTTTTACTTGGGTTCCACTTCCTGAATTCCGTGTTTGGCAACTTGCATGGTCTTCCCCCATCCTCTCACAGGACTGACTTGGTTTCATGCTCTGACATGAGCCTAACTGCTTGTTCATCTAAATATCATTTATCTCATATCTCCCTGAGCTATTTTTCACACACCCTCTGGATTCTTCATGATGCCGGTTTTGCTTGATCTGTACGTGGAGATGGACAAACTCCTGGACAAGATTTAATCCCCTTGCATAGTGTCTTGACACTATGGTTGCTTACCTCAGGAAGTTTGTCTTTAAAAAGAGAAATGCCAGCAGAGTATTTTTATATGTCATCTTTATTGCTCACCACATGTTCTTGTAGTACCATTATCACGCTACAGAGAAACAAAAACTGAGATTCAAGTGCCGTGAGTGACTTGCCTGAGATTTCTCAGCAAGTAAAGGCATGCCTGGAACACGGATGGCGATCTGATGGCAGGGCCTGTGTCGTTTCCACCGTAATCCCCTCCTCTCACTATTTCATACTCCAGATTATGATTCATTTTTATACAAAGACAGTGAAACTACAATAGGACCCTTTATGAAATATAGTCTGGTGTAGTCCAGGTGTGTTCATTATTCACACAGGACATAATTATTAAAACCAGTGTTCCAGGACTTCCTAAAGTTTAAAGGCTCTTATGGTCTGTATTTAATTCATTATTGAACAAAGAATGTTTTGTCCTGGAGATTCCGATTGAATAGAGCCAATGTAATGGAATATTTTTCCATAAGCAAACCAAATGATGCAACCTGAAAGCAAGGCAAAGACCTTAAAAGTAGAGTGGGCAAAACTAAGAAATATGTTCACGCACACCACCAACTGCATAGGGAATTGCAGAAAGATTTTCTCTGCAGCTCCCTAGTCACACCAGCCCCTGCTCTGAATTCTGCTGAATCTGGGTGTTTCTCAGTGTTCTTCAATGTCTGTGGTGGACAGGCTGATGGAAATGCTCTATTGGAAGAGTGGACAATGGTGGGTGTGGAGTGTTCAACTTCTTAGGCAAAGATCTAAATCCAGTGAAGAAAATCATCCAACTAGAAGAGAAAATGTGGAGAAATGGGAAGGTCACACCCTCCAAGTCAGGGCGGGGGTGGAGGGGGTCTCTTCCTAGCTGTGCGATTTAAGCCATATTGTTTGTTCAATTTTTCCTGCCCTCTGGTTGTCTCATCTGTGAAACAGGAATAATGCCACCCATCTCAATTCTTTGACGTCAAATTAAGTACAATAATATGATATAAAGTGTTTTCTGTGAAAAGATGTTTAATGGAGAGTGTATTTTCTATACTGCTGTTCACAATAAAATATGTCTTTTTAAAATCAATATACACTAGAGCAAAGAAAACATTCCATTTTAATTTGTTTTTCCTTGTAGGATATGAGAAAGTCTTGGCTGCATTATTGTTTTTCAACATTGCCTCTGCTGACCTCATAGGAGGAATGGTGTATGGTGTTTCTTCTTCTCTCCCATGTCATGGAAGACACTCCTGATGGCATGTGGTCTGTAGGAAAGAATAATCACCTCAGTAACTTAATGTATGTATGTTATGTGTGTGTGTGTGTGTCTGACACACTGTAGGTACATAATAAAGATTTGAAAATATGAGGTTTGTTTTGTTTTTTTTTTAATCCAAGCAGTGCCATGTGTTTACTTGATTAGGTAATTGTACCAATCTACACTTTAAAGGTAAAACTAGCCATTCATTCTTTTGTTTCAGCAGTTGCCTAATTTTATTGTTCAAGTATAATGTGAGTGAAGAAAAATTCCTAGTTAGAAATCTATGAATATTAACTTCTTGTCTCCACTAACCAGAATTGTTCTCAACTCATAACACCATGGTTTGATAAACCACTTGTAATGTAAACATAGCAGATTTTACTTGTAGTTTCATAATTTGGGCAGGTTGGCTCTGTATTATTTCTAGAATCACAGGTATCTAGATGAAGAATCTCCATTTTGTCATTAGAGATTACAACAAATGTAGTTTATTCTTTTTACTAGTAATATCGATGTAAGTAAAAATTATACTTTTTAGCTAAACATGTTATCTTCTCAGACTAGAAGACTTACTATCTTCCAGATTTTCTCTATCTTCCACTATACAAAAGGAAAATAGACTGGGATTTTACTGGCCATCGCTTTGTAAAGAGAACATAAATAGCAATAAAACATAAAGAAAATGATTGATAAGTGATTATTATTGAAATTAAAAAGTTCTGTTTATTAAACCAAGCCACAGAGTGGGTGAAGATATAGGAAAGCATATATCCGACTGTTAAAGAAAAAGATATTTATAGCATTTGTTAAAGATGGTAAGGCAGACTTTATCTAGAGGGACTATTACAATGAGATTTTGCGGTAGGAGTGAGAGATTGGGCTTAACTTCTAATACAAGGAAAAATGAAAATTTATAGCTAAGGACCAAGGTGGGTGTCATTAGATGTACAAACACTAAGAATAAACATAAAAGCTGATAGAGAATTCTGGCTAAACTGGATTGACAATTTTTGCAGAAGGGAGGCCAAGTGATAAGATATTGAGAGTGGGAGATAAGGAATTTGATTAGATATCGTAAGTGGAGGATTTATATACTTAGGAGAATTTTTGCTAAAATTGGACTAAGAGGTCTTAGGACAGATCCTCAAAACAGAACCTAGAGAGAAAGAGGACTCAAAGGAGGTTGATATAAGTTTGATCAAAAGAGAGAGTCTTTGTCATGATAAAAGTCTAAATTACAGATGTTAGAAAATTTTTCTAAAAATTGATAAGAAAAAGATGGACTAACCTAATTTAATAATTGGGCAAGAGACTTAAACAGTTATTTCACAAAAGAGGATATCCAAATGACAAATTCATATGGAAAGTTATCAATAGCTTTAGTCAATTGGGAGATAGAAATAAAAACCACATAGGCCGGGCGCGGTGGCTCAAGCCTGTAATCCCAGCACTTTGGGAGGCCGAGACGGGCGGATCACGAGGTCAGGAGATCAAGACCATCCTGGCTAACCCGGTGAAACCCCGTCTCTAGTAAAAAAATACAAAAAAATAGCCGGGTGAGGTGGCGAGCGTCTGTAGTCCCAGCTACTCGGGAGGCTGAGGCAGGAGAATGGCATAAACCCGGGAGGCAGAGCTTGCAGTGAGCCGAGATCCGGCCACTGCACTCCAGCCTGGGCAACAGAGCGAGACTCCGTCTCAAAAAAAAAAAAAAAAAAAAAAGAAATAAAAACCACAATGGTGGGACAGAGGGTAGAGCAAGATGGCAGAATAAAGTTCTCTGGTGATTGTACATGAGCACTAAAATCAATTTGGTCAACTATATATGCACATAAATACTTTCCGGGAGCCAAGGAAACCATGTGAGAGATCACTGTACCTGGTTATAGCACAATAATGAGAAAAGATTCACTGAAGAGTGTGAAAAGGACAGTTTTACAGTACTCAAGTTACCCTTCCTTTAACCTTAGGTGGCACAGCATGGAGAGAGATGCTTTCCACTTTGGAAGGAAAATAAGCATAGGACATTGCCTTGGATCCCAATACCAGGCCTACGACAGTAAAAATTGGGAAAACACACACACACACACAAACACACACACAACCCAACCATGGCCTCTGACTCCAGACCAGTATTGATGGACTGAGCCTCTAGACCTGCCCTAGTACTAGGTGAGCCCCGCCAAAATGCATTCAAGTTTTGAACTGTATCGCCACTGGCCAACTGCTGTGGTCTTAGGTTCTGGATAAACCTCAGAGATAGGCAGACCTCATTGGCTGCGGGTTTTGGGTGTCCCTTGATGGCTATGGGATTCCTACAAGGTGCTGCAGCAGGCCTGGAGTTCAGGGCACTCCAATCCTGGCTACTTTGACTGTGGTAGTCCTGGTCTTAGGGCACCCAGTAACACTGCAGCAGTCTTGGGCTTAGAAATTATAACAGTCTGCTTAGAATTTCTGATAGGCTTACTGTTGAAAAACATCCTCAAACAAAGCCAGACTAAAAAGACTATAATAAATACCTATTTCTTTAAGGTGAAGACACTGACATATGACCACAAGGATTAAGAACAATCAGGGAAACATGATATCACAAGAAAAAAAATATGAAGCCAGTGACTGACCCTGAAGGGACGGAGATGAATGTACTGCCTGACAAGGAATTCAACATTTCTGTTTTAAAGAAGGTCAGTACACTTGAAGAAGATACAGAGAAACAACCTAGAAATTTATTAGAGATATGTAACAGAAAAATTAAAATAATAAAAGATTTAAACATATTATAGAGATGAAAGATAAAATAAATAAAAAATAAACAGTGGAAAGCATTAACAGCAGAACTGATCTAGCAAAAGAAAGAACCTGAATGCAAAGACAGGTTATTTGAAAATACACGTACAAAGAAGAATAAAGATAAAATAATGAAAAGGAATAAAGAACTCTGACAGGATTGACGAGATAGCTTTAAAAAAGGAAATATATTAGTTATTAGAGTTCAAGAAGGAGTAAAGAAAGAGAAAGAGGTAGAAAAGTTCTTTAAAGAAATAATAACAAAAAATGTTTCAAACCTGGTAAATATTCAGCTACAAGAAGGTCAACAGTCACCAATCAGATTCAATTCAAATAAGACTACCTCAATATATATTATAACCAAATTTTCAAAGATCAAAGTTAAGGAGAGCATCCTAAAAGTATAAAGAGAAAAGAAGCAAATAACATAAGCAAATAACATATAATGGAATTCCAACATGCCTAGCAGCAGACATCTCAGCCAAAACCTTACAAATCAGAAACTAAAGAGAATGATATATTTAAAATGCTAAAGGGAAAAAGCTACCAACTAATAATATTGTACCCAGCAAATCTATTCTTCAGAAATGAGTGAGAATAAAGATTTTTCTAGACAAATGCTGAGGGAGTTTGTCACCTTTAGACCTTTCTAACAAGAAATGCTAAAGGGAGTTCTTCAATTTGGAAGAAAAGAATGCTAATGAGTAAAAAACATCTGGATGTATAAGTCTCACTGATACAAGTAAGTACATAGTCAGATTCTGAATACTGTTGTATAGTAGTGTAATTGTTATATGTAATGATAGCTTTAGTATGAAGGTTAAAAGCCAAAACTATTGAAATAATGACTACAATAATTTGTGAAAGTGCATGCAATATAAAAAGATACAAATTATGACACCAAAATGTCAAAATGTAGGGGAGGGGAGTGAAGTTAAAGTGTAGTGTTTTGTTTTTTTGTGATCAAAGCTAAGTGTTATCAGCTTATAACCTATTAGAACTATAAGATGCTTCTTACAACCTAATATTAACAACAAAGCCAAGACCTATAATAGATACACTAAAAATAAAAAGCAAGGAATCAAAACATATTGCTAAAGAAAATAACTTAAACAAAGGAAGACAACATGAAAGAAAGGTAGAATGTGAAATATAACTAGAAAACAATTAACAAAATGGCAGCAGTAAGTCCTTACCTATCAATAACTACCTGGAATGTAAATGTACTAAATTATCTAATTAAAAAATATGAAGTGGCCAAATGGTTAACAATAAAAGACCCAACTATATGCTGCCTAAAAGAACTCACTTTATTGCTAAGAACACAAGTAGACTGAAAGTGAAGGGATAGAAAGACATACTCCATGCCAATGAAAAACAAAAGAGAGCAAGAATAGCTCTACTTATATTAGATAAAATAGACATCGAGTCAAAAACTGTAAAAAAAGACAAAGGAGATCATTATATAACAATAAAGGGGTCAATTTAACAAGCAGATATAACAATTATATATGCACCCAGCACTGAAACAAATACATATACAAACCAAATATTAATGGGTCTAAATGGAAAAACTGACTGGAATACAATAATAGTAGGGGATTTCAACACCCACCTTTCAGCAATAAACAGATCACCCAGACAGAAAATCAATAAAGAAACATCAGATTTAAACTGTACTCAAGACCAAACAGACCTAACATTTACTGAACGTTTCATTCAACAGCCCCAGAATATACATTCTTTTCAACTACACATGGAACATTCTCTGGAGTAAATTGTGTGTTAGACCACAACCCAAGAATTAACAAATTTAAGATCAAAATCAGGTTTTATTTTATTTTATTTTTTTTTCCTGACCAGAATGCTAGAACTAGAAATCAATAACAGGAGAAACTTTAGAAAATTCACAAACCAAGAAAATTCAACAACATGCTCCTAAACAGTGGGTCAATCAAGAAATTAAAGGAAAATTTTAAAACTTATTGAGACAAATGAAAAAGGAATAACAACATACCAAAACCTATGGGACATGGCAAAAACATTACTGAGAGAAAAGTTTATAACAATAAATGCCTATCTAAAAAAGGAGAAAAATGTCAAATAAACAATCAAACATTTCACTTCAAAGAACTAGAAAAACAAGAACAAACTAAACCAAAAATTATAAGAAGAAAAGATATGATTAAGACCAGACTGGAAATAAAGTAAATAAAGATGAACAAAACAATAAGAAAGATTGAGGAAAAAGTTGGTTATTTGAAAAGATAAACAAAATTGACAAATCTATCTATACTAAGGAAAAGAGAGAAGATTCAAATA